GATTCACACCTCCTCAGGTCCAACCTCTGGGCAGCACAGGTATGCATGCAGTCAGCACGCAGGCCCACTCTCTCACTCTGAAATAAATGTTCAGTAAGATAAAGGCATCCAGCCTTTGGAAAATCCACCAGTCACAGGACAGCCGTGCCTCTGGCACTGGGGCAGCTGCAGTGGGAGGCAGGAGTGGGGCATAAGCTCGCCTCAGATAGCAGAACAAGCACAAGTCCAGATGATGCTGATGCGTGAGGAGTGGCATCCCCAGGGCATCCTGCTACACCCCTGCCTGGCCGCAGGAGGCTCGCTCTCCCCAGCACCCTCAACAACAAAGTAAACCCAACCTGGGTGCAGACATCTCATCCACGAGGCACTGACAGGCAGTGCCTTCCCTCTTGTGCACTAAAATCACCCCAGAGGCTCTGCGTGGCACTGAGTGCTGCATGCCAGTCATGCTCCAGCTATAAAGCGTGCTTCTGCTGATTATTTGCAAGTATATATATTTTTTTAATTAAAGAAAGATCATTGTAGAGGCAGGGAATGCAGTTGAGACTGAATAGAGGCAACTGAATAGATTGATGCTGGATTGCCACAAGGCACTCGACTACCAGCTGGAATCTGGCTACTTCAGCAAGCTCCTTGGCTAGCAGAAAACAAAAGCCCTCCGAAGCTTCCAGAAGAAACAATGCAGGCGGCACCCCTTTGCTCAGAGCAGTTCTCTATTTCAGCAGGGAACACCAGAGAAAGACTGGCAGACAGCAAGCAACTGAATGGGCTGTAAAGCAGAATTGCTCGGAGGGGCCTTACCATCACGCTGTCACTCACAGCAGCACCACGGCCATCCTGCAAAGTGAACAATTCCACTGCTTCAGTTTGCAAAGAAGTGAGCGGGCTGGAAAAGGAACAACTCCTCTCTCCAGCCAGCGCCGCTCGCACCATGAAATGGGAGGAAATGCTGCCATGAATGTGGGCTTAAGTTCAGATGCAAGACTTTGCCCCTAAGCAGATAAGTTGCGAGTGGTTTCCACCTACACTCCTGCAGTCAGGATGGGCTCCTCCAAAGGGGAGGAGCTGTTTGTGCCGAGCAGCTCGGGCCTGCAGTGCACCCAGCACCCAGCCCGCGCCGTGCTGTGCTGTCAGTGCTACGGCCCCATTCCCAGCCAGCCCCTGCCAGCTTCCCTCCCAGCAGCACCCTGCCGACCCCCCAGAGCTGGACCCACACAAGAGGCCGCTGTGTGCAGCCGGAAGGCTGAGCTCGGCAGGGCTCCTGGTGCAGCCCCAGCCAGAAGGTAAGCGAGACCGGCCCTGCTCTGAGCCAGGTGCCAACAGGAGCGATGCACCTGCAAACAAACACAGCAAGAAAGGACGCCTCTGGGGTTGGTAACTCTGTGTGTCTTCAATCAGAACGCCAACACATAACTCTCCTCCCTAGGGACGTGCCCTGGGCATGCTTCTGCTCCAGGAAAAGAAGTTGAGGGCATCTCTCAGTTGAGAAAGGACAACCACATCAAAACGAAACACACCAGCAAAGTCACCAGCACTGCTAAGAACTGGGACTGCCTGCTTTGTTTTGCTTTTGCTACGTCCCATTAACGTGCTGTGCCACACGGAAGGCAGGGCGCTGCTTCACATCTACCCTGCACAGAGCTACCAGGTCTGCAGAACCTGCTGCAAACCAAGCGCCAGCAGAAGCAGCCCTGGGACCCGACCCCAGGCTCTGCACCAACCCCTCGAAGAAGAGGGAGCAGACATCAGCTTCGGCTCCCAGCTAAAAGCCCATTTCCCTGCACCATCCAATAACTGGAGACCACCTCAGTGCACAACGGCAGTGCCGCACATCGCTGCCGCCAAAGCTCTCCACATCGATGACAAACAGCTGGCTGCAGCTCTCACAGCTGCCTTGCTCAGAGGCTGACCTGTGCAGGAATTCACCTTCATGTGCAGGTTTGGCTGCACGCCCCGAGCTGCAGGCCAGGCTGGTGGAGCAGCATGCGGGCAGTGAGGCTGCAGCCCGGCCACACCGCGCCACGCAGGCTGAGCAGGCTTTTGCTATTTATAAGCTCACAGCTGATCCTGTCCAGGAAATCCTATCCCTCCGGGTGTGGGACAGCAGTGAGGAGCTGTGATCCCGGCCCGCGTGGAGCGGCACCGGCACCGGCCTGAGGAGCCAGCAGGGTTACAGGCAGCAATTGGTCTGTTATGTTAATTTATTAAGAGTAAAGTAATCCTCTAATCAGCTCTTCTCTCCATTCATTATTGTCCAAAAAGGACTCTGATCCGGTCCTACACCTCGGTGTTTTCCTGTGTGCTGTGATATGTGGGAGGCACAATCAGAGACACATCCCAGCCCCAAAACTCTCCAACAAACATGAACGCGAGGGAAAACTTTGCTGTGAGGGTTCTAGACCTCAGAACAGGGAGCCCAGAGAGGTGGGGAAGAATCCCTTCCCTGCAGGTATTTAAAACCCACCTGGATGCTTCCCTGTGCCCCTGCTGCAGGGAACTGCACTGGGAGGGGGGCTGGATGAGGGATCTCGAAAAGTCCCTTCCAGCCCCTACAGTTCTGTGATTCTATGAAACAGAAAACCAAGGGGAAGCGAAGCTGGAAGGAGGGACAGCAAGGAAGAGAAAGGTGCAGAACTTTGATGACTACAAACACATTATGAGTTCCCTGGGACATGCCTGATATCCAGGAGGATGCTCAGAGGATGGAGCACCTCTGCGGTGCAGGGAGGCTGAGGGGGCTCTGCCTGCAGAAGAGAGGGCAACAGGGAGATCCCTCAAGGACTGGAATTTTCACACATCCGACAATGACAGGATGAGGGGGAATGGCTTTAAACTAAAAGAGAGGAAACTCAGGGGAAATTCTTCACCCAGAGGGCAGCGAGGCGCTGCGCTGCTGCCCAGAGCTCTGTGCCCATCCCTGGAGGTGCTCCAGGCCACAGATGGATTCTGGGCAGCCCGAGCTGTGGGCACCCAGCCCATGCAGGACCTGGAACGGACCGATGGAACCAACGGACCGCTGCGGGCGCACGGGGCTGCCAGGCGCACAGCGTGCAATTTCCTCCCGCTCGCCTCCCTTCCCCGGGGCGGACCGGCAGCCCTCCGTTCCTCCGTCCCTCCCTCCCCTACTCTCCTCCCCTCTCCTCCCCCATCCCCCATCGGCCCCGGAGATCGCGGCATCTCCAATTCCGACCCGTGCAATGCCGCGCTCCTCGGGCCGCGCCGCGGCGCCCACGCGGTACTGCGGGACCGAGCAGGCGGCAGGACGGGCCCGCGGCGGAAGGCCCGGGAGGCGCCGGCGGGGCGGGGCGGCGCGGCGGGCAGGGCCGGGTTCGGGGCCTGGCGGCGGGGCGGGGGAGGGGCGCGGGGGGTCGGCGGGGCCTCACCTGAGTCCGAGCGCGCCGCTCCCGCCTCTGCCGCGTGCGGCTCCCCGCCCTGCCCCCACCGACCCGCGCGGCTCCGCCAATCGGCGCCCGCCGTCGCCGGCAACGCCGACCAATGAGCGGAGAGAACGCGTCCCCGCCCAGCGCCGCCGGCCGCGGGGACGCGCCCACAGAGCATCCCGTGACCCGGCGCGGCCAGCGGCGCGGGGCGGGACCCGGCGAGCGGCGCCCAATGAGAAATCACAGCGCGTCCCGCTGTAGCCAATCGGAGGGCGGGCAGACCCGCGCCTCAGACAGCCGCGCGGGGAGCGGGGGTTGGGCTCCGAGCCCGCCGCCCCGCCCCCCCCCCCCCCTTCGGGGGGCGCGCTCCGGCTGTGACGTGGCTGTGCTGGGCTCGTGCCGGACGGACGTAACGAAAAACAGCTCCGAAAGAGCGTGTGGGAATCGAATGTTGTTTCTGCATTAGAATTGGATAGGGATTTATTATTTCATGGTCGTGTCGTAGTTCTATTTGGGAGTCTTTCTACTTTACCCGGGGGGTCTCTGATAGTTCGCACCACTGATCCTGTAGACGAGCCTTCCCCAGCAATGCACGCTCGGTATATAGGTGTGTATGTGTGTATGTTGCCACCCACGGTGGGAGAATATCCCGCCCGAGGTTGATGAAAGCAGAGCACAAATGATGGCATGCCAGAGGAAGCGCTTGAACAGTTACATTGGAAGGCCTGGCAGCACCTCTGCCCCACGGCGCTCTTTGTTTAATGAAGGCTTTGAAGAAAATCGCCACCTCGATAGGACAAGAAGAGCATTGAGACAGCTTGGGAACAGCAGGATGGCTGCTGGCTGACAGCAGATAACACAGCAATTAAATGTAAACTGTGATAAGATTGTGAACCTGGAGCACTCAGGGGAGGGGGACAGGCAAAGGCACAAAACGAGGCACAAAAAGCTGTCCCTGTGTCCTTAGGGGTGTTCCTGCTTGCGGGATGCCCGCCGTTGCAATCGCGAATAAAATCTGCTTTTATCAGAGACACCATCCTGATGAATTATTTGGGTATTTCCAACACATGGTGCTGCAGTGGTGCAGCTGCACGGGGCTGGGGTCACCGTCCTGAAGGCGTTCAGAGCTGTGGGGATGTGGCACTATGTGGGCATGGGGGCTGGGGTTGGACATGGGGTTGGTGGAGTCTTTCCTATGATGTCCCTTAGCATCTTGATTCCCCATCACAGCTTCTCCTTCCCCCATCAGATGAGCCCTGGGCAGATGATGCTGCTGCTCCCCCAGGAACCCAAAGGGGACAGGCCAGGCGCAGCCCACAGCAGGTCTGCAGCATGATGGATGATCCTGAAGTGGGAGGGACCCACAGGGATCACTGCTTCCAAATCCTGAAATGAGACCATGTGTCTGAGCGTGTTGTCCAGATGTCAGCCTGCAGCTGAGAAGCTCCCTGGTGCAGGAGCTGTAAGCAGCAGCACCGCGTGGCATCACTCCTCTCACCTGGTAGTGCTGCACCTCCAGGGAGAGGTGATGGGGGCTGTGATGGTGCAGGGCTGCAGCTCTGTGGGCTCACTGTGCTGTGCTGGGCTCTGGCAGGCAGTGACAAAGGCCAAAGGCGGAAACAGGAAGCAATGCTTAAATTTACTTTCATTTTCTGTTCCCCCAAGAAGCGGCCGCTGAGCCGTTCGGTGGGCTGGGGGCTGAGGGTCGATGGCAGGTGAGTGCAGCCAATGGTTGCCCAAGGGGGCACTGGGGGTGGGCTGGGGGCTGCTTGGATCGTGCTGGTCCTGCTGAGCCTCGCACACCACAGCACATGGCAAGGGCCACGTGTCCTGGGCAAGGGATCCGTGTCCTGCAGCACTTTCTGTGGCAATAGGGGAGGGGGGTGGTGGCATGGGAAGCACACTGGGGTTGGTGTGGGAGAGCGGGGAGCACCAAGGGAGGAAGTGGGAAAGGGAACAGCAGGAACGGGTGGTGGGAGGGCTGGAGCTACGTGGGGCGGCTCTGGGTGCTGACAGGGCTGCCCTACAGACCAGGAGCTGCTGAGAGCGCGTGCCGACTTTGTGAGCCGCGTGAGGAAGGCTGTGATCTCCAATCTCCTGGATGAGCTGCTGGCCCACAGGGTGCTGAACCAGGCAGAAGTGGATGAGGTGCAGGAGGCCAACCCAGTGACAACCGACAAGGCCCGGAGCCTCATAGACATTGTACGCCTGAAGGGCCCTAGGGCCAGTGCCATCTTCATCGACAGCCTCAGGAAGCACGATAGCAACTTGGCGGAGCAGCTGGGACTGAGTGCTGGTGCAGGTGAGAGGCAGAGCCACGACCCACCCTGGCCGTGCTTGTGCTTCCAGTGCTTCCTGTGGCATGCTGGAGGGGGCCCTGCCTGCTGGCCCAAGCCCAAACCATGGGGCAGTCAGGAAATCCCATTGTCACTGTGCTGTGGCAGTCGGTACCCCTCACCACGTGGTGACAGCAGGGCTCTCAGGTGGCTGCTCCCTGTAGGAATCCACTATGGGGCAGAGACGGGTTCTGCTTGCCCCCTGCACTGTGACAGCCCCTTCTTACCCTTTCCAGTGTAACCACGGCCTTTGTGCTTGCAGAGCCTCCTGGTGCACCGCCGGCTGCCCCCAGCACTGCGGGCTCCTCCGGCCCCCCCATTAGCAGCCAGAACCTGCAGTGGACCCTGAGCGAGTACCAGCGCTTCAAGGAGGCAGAGGGAGATCAGGTGCTGTGGGTGAAGGAGATGAGAGAAGGGCTGGAGCATGGAGCAGCCTCTCTGTCAGAGGGGGCAAAGGCTGCCAAGGGTCCTCTGCAGTCAGTGAGCAGCGCAGGAGCTTTGGGAAGATGCCCCAGGGCCGGGGAGATGTGGGTGCTGCATACGTAGGCCTTTGCTGCTATAGTTGCCTCCCTAGAGAAGCCTCCTGCACCCACTCACAAATGTGCATCACCTTGTTCTCTCATCACAGATCTATGACATATTCCTGCCACGGGAAAAACGAACCCGTAGGGCCTTGCTCATCTGCAACACCAATTTTGAGCACTTGAGCAAGCGGGACGGGGCTGAAGTGGACGTGAAGGAGATGACAAAGCTGCTAGAAGGGCTGGGCTACAATGTAGAGTGCCATGAAGAAGTAACTTCCCAGGTAAAGGAAGTTGCAGAGACCTTTGTGTGCAATGGAGGTGGGGGGCTCAGGGCAGACATGGCTGTGAGGGCTCTCAGGAACCACAGGAACAATTCTGTCCCCAGTGGCACTGGCTCCTGCTCACAGCTGCATCTCCACACAGCTGGTTGCAGGTGGCTGATGCCCCTTTTTCATGGTGTTTTGCAGGAGATGATCACAGTCATGAAGAATTTTGCAGATCACAAAGATCATTGGACCTCTGACAGCACCTTCCTGGTGTTCATGTCACATGGAGTCAGCACTGGGATCTGCGGGACCAAGAGTAATGGGACCACAGACATCCTCTCCTTCAGCACCATCTACGAGAATTTCAACAACAAGCACTGCAAGGCGCTGGTGGGCAAACCCAAAGTGGTTATTATCCAGTGCTGCCGCGGAGGTGAGTCCCTGCTGCAGGGTGCCTGCCAGGTGAGCAAGCCAGTCAGGCTCACCTGGAGCACTGGAGGCTGGGTTTGGGGTACCCCATCACTGACGGCTGGCCCTGCCTTCCTAGACAACATAGGATCTGTGATGGTATGTGACTCCATCGACCCTGAGATGCCCACTTTCACCTCGGACGGCTTTAGGTCTGTACAGCTGCAAGGTCGTAAAATCAGAGAAACTCACCTGGAGAGTGATTTTGCCACTTTATATTCCTCCACACCTGGTAAGCAATTCCACAGAGAGAGTTCTCCTGTCTGAAGGAAGGCAAGGGGGGCAGGACTCCCATTCCCCACCCCATCAGTCTCTCCCACACCTCCTTCTCAGGGTGGGTTGACAAGGTCCCTCCATCTGGTGGCCTGGCATACATTGCTCAGGCATTGCTCCAGCAGCCTCTGCACAGTGCAGCATCCTCCCAGTGTCAGAATACACAGCCACTCCAAGCCCAGATCCCTTTCTGGGTGAGTGCTACCATGGCTAGAGTTCTGTGCCTTCGCTCCAGCCTGTGCATCTTCTCCAGCCCATTTATCTCACTGTAGTGGCTAGCTGGGAAAGTTGTCTTCTCCTGTGGAAAGTTTGGCTAGGTCACAGATGGGTCCAGGCCGTGCAGACATGCATGCACTGGGAGCGTGGCTGGGAGCAAGGAGACCAGAGAAAACATCACACCCAGCATTCCAGGAAAGCTCTGTCCTTTTCCCATTCTTCGTCCTGTTGGTCAGGTGGGCCATCTACAAAGATCTCAGAAGGTGTCCCAGTCTCCTGCTCTAGCACGCTGTGTTGATTGCTGCTGCCATGGGAAACACCAGTGAAATGACACTTAGCATCTTCTGTCTCCTCAGATACTGTCTCCTGGAGATGCCCCAAAAAAGGTTCTCTTTTTATCCAGAGACTGGTGGAGCAGTTTCGAAGCCATGCCTTTAACAGTGACTTGCAGGAGATGTTCAGAAAGGTGAGGCTTTGTAGTTAAATGCAAATACAGTCATGCCAACAGGCAGGGATGCTGCTGCAGGAACAGGGGCCTACTCACGGCTCTGGCTTTATTCTGCAAACTTGGGGAGCAGGCTGTTTCCTAAAAGGGTCCAGGTGCTCGGGTTTGGTTCTCTGTGGGGGTCGGTGTCCTGCCGTGGGGCAGGCTTGTGACAGCCTGCTGGGTTGGTGCAGCCCATGGCTTCTTTTGCACCAACTCACCTTCCTGGGGATGCCTCCTGATGCCCTGCACTGCAGCCATGCTGGAAGGAGAATTGCTTTCATTTTCCTGTGCTCTCTTTCTCTCTGTCTCACTCCAGGTCCAACGTTCCTTTGAAAACTTTCCTCGGCAGTTGCCAACACAAGAGAGGACTACAATGCTCAAGAAGTTCTATCTCTTCCCAGGCCTCTGATCTCCTGCCCAAGGTGAGTTTTTCCACTTCACCCTTCTGCAACAGCCTCTTCTTTGTGCTCCACACCTGGTACTTTGTCAGTGGGCAGGAGCAATTCCCCATCACACCTTGGCTCCAGAGCACACAGCTCGGGCTTTATGTCCCAAGGACTTATGTGCTGCATACAGGGCCTGACTCCCCATCTCCTGCTGGCTCTAGAAGATGGGTGCTTGAGGAAGTCATTGCAGCAGCCTGTGTCTCAGGAGCTTTTTTTGTTCTAATGTTCTCCATGGGTTAAAAAAAAAAAAAAAAGACATGGACAGAGAAAGTGTTTGAATTTGGGAGTAACAAAGCAGAAAGCTCAAGCTCAGGGAATGCAGTGGTGCTGCAGAGATGTACTTCAGAAAAGGAAATGAAAAAAATAGAGGCCAAAACCAGCTCTGCAGAAACAGCAAATCTCTAAACCGGCTTCTTTTGCTCCCTCTGCTAGGCAGCTACAGAGCCAGAACAAAACAGTCTTCAGTCTTCTCTTCTTCCTCCCTTTTGAGGCATCTGAACAACCTCAAACTGACCAAATTCTTGCCAGGGAGCAGCAAAGACACTCAGCAATAGAACACTACACGCACACCTGGACCACATCTCTCTTTACCACCCCAGCAAAGGCTGTGAAGCAAGCATCTTCCCATTGGTGGCAGATACCATCTGTCACTCTGAGAGCCACTTCTGCCCTGTTTCTGACTCAACTTGTTGACTAATAAAAGGATTAGAACACATAACAGCACCTCTCCTCTGCCTCCAGCCTGTGGTGATGGTTGGTGGCCAGCAGCAGCTGCTTGGGTACAGCTGTGAACAGACAGGAGGTCATGAACCAGAATTGAGGGAGGAGGGGGCAGCCAGTGTGGGGGGTGGCTGGGCTTAGGAAAATCCCTAGAGAATCCACTTCTGTTTGGTGTGCATCTGCTCCCTGTGCTGGTGGGACAGCCTGCACTGTTTTCTGCCTCTTCCATCCCTCCTCACCCAGAGCTGTGTGAGAGCTACACTTTGTCCTTGCAGCAGTGCTGCCTCATGCCCTGGTGTCCCTGCCTATCTCCAGTTTCTGTCCATGTGCTCTCCAGGTTCCCATCTCCTTGGGTCGAACATGGAGAGAAAGTGAATGCAAAGCCCTTCCATATGCAGGTCCCAAGACAAAGCAGAGGAGGGTGGGTGTGCTCTCATGGCTCCTTCCTCACAGCTCCCTTCTGCAGCCCATGGCGTGGCCTTTCTCAGGAGGCAGCTTCCTCCTGCTGCCTCGGAGGTGGTGGAGGGAAGTGATTTCCTCTGGAAGCCATGAAAGATCCTTAAATCTGCATCTAACAGCTCAGCTGACACCTCCCACCACCATCCCCTCCAGTAAGCCTACCAGTGCTCCCCTTGTCCACAGCCACATCCAAACCATTCTCTGCCTTGGCACAGATGCAGGTTTATTGCAAGTGCTGCAAACCACTGTCAGCTCCACCACCAGGTGAAAAGGTGGTAGGAAAAAGAGAGGGCTCTCCTGTCCCCTCCTTGCGTCCAAAGCACTTGGGTGCATGCAGGCCACGTCCTTGGCCAGTGCCACCCTGTGTCTCTGGGAGGTGGCAGGAGGGCTGGGCCTCTGCGAGCAGGATGGGAAATGTCCTCAGACCACAAAGGTGGCGGCTGCTCTGGGCTGATCCTTTCCTTGCTCTGCCCAGAGCTCCCTGGGTCCCACGTGGTGCTTGCAGGAACACCGGTGGCCAGGACTATGGCGATGGCAAGAAACTGAGGACAGCAGCGATGAACTCTTCAAACTTGTCCTGATGGACTATGTGGCCTGCGCCTTCGATGAACTGGACATCTGCTTTGGGGAAGAGGCGCTGGATCTCTGGGTAGTCTTTGGAGCTGCAGGACAAGGGAAGACAGCATCAGAAGTGTGGTCAGAGGTCCACCCAGATGCTTTCCTCCACCTGCTGCAAGCGGAGTCTCAGGTCTGACCACATCCTCTTTGTCACTGCTAGGAAAGCCTGAGGCTGCCCTCAGGCTCCACCTCACTCTCCAGCACATCGGTGTCACTGCCTGCTGGAGGCACAGAGCTCACTCCAAGGCCTTCCCTCCCAGCCTTAACATCTGCAGAACAGTGCAAGGAGTCAGATCACAGACTTTGAACAGCTTGTCTTCAGTCTCACCTGATATAGGGTGATTTGGATCCTCCCAAAAACAATGCAGGGCCAGGATATGGCTTGTGGAAGACTGGGAAGCTCATGATATCTGCAAAGTGATGGGAAATAGCATCCAGGTTCACTCTCCAGATGTAGCGGCCCTCCACCTCCACCAGGTTGGTGAGAAGAAACTGTCTCAGCTGAGGGTCCTGCCACAAAAGGGGAATGTGCCAGTGGATCACACACACTTCAGTGAGAGCAATGAACCCTTGGGATGTCCTACCCATCTCACAGCTCATGCATGCCATGTTCCCCAGTTCTCCTGCAGCCTCTGTGACCCAACTGCCCAGATCAGCATTGAGCTGGCAGGAATCAGGGTCCCAGGAACAGGCTAGGGGCAGAAGCCCCTTCTAGGATAGGGATTTCCCACCTGGACCACGGAACTCAGCTGACTGTCAGCCAGCTGGCGGGCAGCAGAGCGGGACAGACCGGCCGGGATGTTCACTGACTTCATGGCAGAGATGTAAGCAGGGAACTCGGAGATAAGCGTGGTTGAGGTAGGACTGATGTCTACGGAGATAAGGCGCTCCACCAAGTCTGGCTGGGGACACAGACAGAGAAGACCAAATGAGAGCTGAGATCTCCCAGCCTTGCTCTGAACAGTGAGGCCAGGCACAGTGCTCTGCTCCCAGCAAGGCTCTCTGAAGGCTTTTAGCTCCCTGCTGCCCCAGCAGATAGCTCCACAAACCTTTCCCTGAAGTCTTACTTCCCTGCACCTCCGTACATGAGACGTCTGAGCTCCTGTGCAACTGGTGCCAGCATGGTGGGCTGAGAGCAGAGCCCTGCAGCCCAGCTCACAGCTCTGAGCAGGGCAGTGCTGGGGACAGCCGCTCACCGTGGGCTCATGGCCGCATCACCACTGCCCTTCTCAGCACCACCTCCAACACTCACCAAGCCCCATCCCACCACCAGGACCCCCAAACACCCACCCGCTGCAAGGCCAGCACCATGGCCGTCTTGCCACCCATGCTGTGTCCCACGAGGATGCACTTGTGGATGCCCAGCTGGGTCAGGAGGTGCTGCACGTCCAAACTCATCGCCTCGTACGTCATCAGTGGGCTGTGGGGGCTGCTGCCATGGTTTCGTGCGTCCACTGTGAGCACCTGCCCAGCCAGGGGGTACTGCATCAGCTGGGGCCGGGCACTGCTCGTGGCCCCCAGACCTGTGGGACTGCCTGTGAAGCTGGGGCTCTGCGGCTGTCCCCCGTGGCCTCACCTGGCCGCCAACACGCCGCACCAGTGTCTTGGCCACCGAATGGAAGTTGCCGTGGTTGCCGAAGATGCCGTGGAGCAGCACCAGGGGCGGGCGCGTGCCTCGGACTCCAACCTCGGCGTGGGCCAACGGTACAGCCCTGCGGGGAGAGGGCGGGACTGGGAGCAGCGAGGGGCGGGGCCACGCCGAGGGGGCGGGGCCACGGATCAGCAGGAGCGGGCTGGGGGCGGGGCTACGCGACGGGGCGGAGAAGAGCCCAGGCCCTGAGGCGGGGGGCCCACGGAAGGGGGCGGGGTTAGAGCCGAAGTTGGGGGGCGGGTAAAGCACAGCCCCTCCTCGCGAGACCACCACCCCTCCTGCCCCGCCCCTAGCGCGGACGGGCCCTTACGTTATGGCGGAACGGGCTGCGAGAGGCGGGCGGGGGCCGCGGGGCGAGCCCAGGGGCAGACGACGGAGCATGATGGCGGCGGGCGGGCGAGCGGCGCGCGGCCGTGACGTAATGGGAAGCGACCACGCCCCGCTGGTAGCCGCGTGCGCCTCCTGGCGGCGGGAGGCTCTTGGGCGGACTGCAGGCGGCACCGTGACTCAGCGACACGGGCTGCAAGCCGGGAGATCTGGGACGGAACGGCGCGCGGGCCTTAGTGTGCCGTGCTGCCACCGCCCGTCCCCGCACAGTACCGCACTGCGCTTGAGCTCACCCCAAATCCCGGACCGGCTCTGATGCCACGTGAAGGCTGCAGCGCCGTGGCTGTGCGCCCATACCCCGGCACCGGGCACGGGGAGCGGGCAGCGACTGCGGGGCACCCAGAGCACCGCCAGGCGCAGGGACAGCGCCCCCCGGCTCCTTCTGAGGAACCCCGACGTCCTCATCCCACAGCCCCCGGCCGGCACGCGGTGCTGCGGGCACTGCGCTCCGTGTGCCGCCACCTCCGCCTGGGAACCGACACCGAGAGGAGCGGGGGGAGGGCAGCCCTCAATGGTCTCGTTGTGCTCCGCTGGCAGCAAGGTCACCACCCGCCTGCGTGTGGCCCAGGGCCAGGGCAGGGCCCGCGTCCCCGGGAGCCCCAGGCCGGCCCCAGTAGGGCTGCTCCGCTCCGGCTGATCCTTATCGGGGCGGCCATGTGTGCAGGGCCGGGGGGAACCTGAGCCGCCCCCTCCCCCGGCGGACCGCCAGCGTGAGCCGCCTGCGGGGCCGTCGAGCGGGGAGCGGCCGAAGCAGCTGCTCAGCCCTGCCTCTCGGCTGCGATTTTCTGACAGCGGCTGCGAGACGGCCTCAGGGGCCGGAGAGGGGGAGGCGGCGATGCACCTGCGGCTTTGTCCGTGCTCGCTGGAGCCTGGCGGGGAAAGCGGGGGCCGTCCAAAGCCGGGCGGAGCTGCACCGTGCTGCCGGACCGGGAACGGGCGGTGCGGCGTTGTGCAATGCGGCCTCACCCCTGCTTTTACGGGGGGGGAAAGAGCCGGTCTTCGCCGCCAGAGTGCCAGACTTTGTACCGAGCGGCAGGGAGTGCCGACGGTGGGACGTCAGCTGGGCAGCGGCTGGGATCCTGCGGCCCGCAGCCCCCCGCGTGGGGCTGGGAGAGGGGCAGACGGGGAAGGAGCCGAGAGGGGCCAGAGCCTGGTGGGAAAGGTGTGGAGATGCCCATCCCCAATCCGGTGTGATTGGGGTCAGTCCCGGTGCTGCTCTGCTCCTCGCATGGGGACAGCTCTGTGCTCATGGCCCCGTGTGGGGGTGACAGAGGGGTCCTCTCCACTGCAGCACGTTCCCATTGAGGTTCCAGGGCTGGCGTTGTCCTTGCACACGATGCTAATCTGCCCCACGCTGCCTTCCTGCGGGGCCTAAGCCATTCCCTCCCCAGATGGCTCTCACCCTTCTGTTCCCCCCCATCCTGTCGAGGGGCCCAAGGACACATGGATACCAAAACAGGACTCGTTTATTGACAAATGTAACTTGTACAGACCACGCGTAACAGGGAGAGAAGGTGCCCGGCTGGCGGCGGGGGGGGCCGGCAGAGCAGGGCGGGGGGACACGGAGCTTCCTCCTGGCGCTGCTGCACACAGCTCTCCTGGCAACCCGAAACCGGCTCTGTTTACATGAAACCGTCGGTATTGACACAGCCGCCCGCCCGGCTCCCGCTCGCACTGCCCGGCCCTGACCCCGGCACCGATCCCATCGCCCCCCCCATCATTCCCCTGCCTGCTCCCACCGGGGCCGGGCACCCTCGGGGGGGGAGCTCTCTCCCCGGCCTGCGGGGCGGAGGGTCCCCGACGGTGCCGGTTCCGGCGGTGGGGCTGGAAGTGGGTGCAGGAGCTGCCGAGCCCCCCGTAGGGCTGGGCTGGGGGGATGCAGGGGCTCACACATAGTTCCTCTTGTCGTAGCTGGTAACGGCAGAGCGCGGGGCGGAGTAAGCCACCTTGCTGGTCGTGTACCTCTCGTCTTTTGGGGGGCAGGAGCAGCAGAGCAGGGCCCCCCCGAAGAGCTGCAGCGCGGAGGCCGCCCAGCCCACATAAAGTGACGAGCCCAGCTCCCGCTTCTGAGCGTCGAGCACCAGCGGGTTGTAGAAATCCCGGATGATGGCGTTGGCCGACCAGGAGACGGGGATGAGGGTTATGATGCCGGAGAGCAGGAAGATGACGCCGGAGACGATGGTGATCTTGGCCTTGGTGGTCTCGTCCTCCACGCAGCGCGTGCACTGGGCGCCCACGATGGCCACCATCAGGCCCAGCACGGCCAGCACGATGGCCACCACCAGCAGCGCGCGGGCGGCCTGCAGGTCCTGAGGCAGGGCCAGCATGGAGTCGTACACCTTGCACTGCATCTGCCCCGTGCTCTGCACCACGCAGTTCATCCACAGCCCTTCCCAGATGATCTGCGCCGTCACGATGTTGTTGCCGATGAAGGCCGTCACCTTCCACATGGGCAGCGCGCAGCAGATGATGCTGCACAGCCAGCCCAGCACCGACAGGGTCAACCCCCCGATCTCCAGCCCCATAGACATGGTGTCCGGCTCCCAGGCGATGGCAGAGAGGAACCCGCTGACCGAAACCACCCTGTGCTCCGCTCGCTGCTGCAGCCGTGGGGATCGGCTTACACCTGGGTGCACCTGTGCTTATAAGGGCTGGCGGGGCCGGGGCCGGGCTGCACTCGCTCAGCGCCCGCCCGGGGTGGGGTTTCTCCTCCGGACGCTCCTCTCCACTGGCTCCGTCGCCGTGTCCCACACCCTCCCCTTTGTTTGCGGAGATGGCGTAGCGGAGGGAGGGGGAGAGCCACCTGAGATGGCCACTGCAGCACAGGCCTGGTTTCGGGGCGTGGGGTGGGATGGGTGCTATCGTCACAACCCGAAGAGATGGAGGGCTGCCCAGCTCTTAGCTTGCTGTGTGCCCTGCTGCCCACCTGCACCACGGCCCACGGCCACCGCTGACCCCCTCCAGCCTTCCCCAAAGGCAGCAGCGAGAGCTGAGAGCCCCTCGGCTTCACACTGGTAGTGCTGGAGGTGGCCAGGGATGGGGGCTGAACCCCCCACCAGAGCAACATGGCACAGCGCAGAATGGCACGGCTGGGTGGGAGCCCAAAGCCTCGCAGCGTGGCCTCTCCAGCAGGGATGCTGTGGGTCACAGCCTGTTGTATTTCTGGAGTGCTTTATCAGATCTCACGTTTAACATGGTGTCCAAAAGAAAGGCAGTTTATTTAAGATTACGGCCTTGTCGGTATTTTTATCTGCATGCAGATTGCTCCTTATCTCACCGTGGCTCAGCGAGAGCAGGGAGCACTCGGGCACCTTTGCATCACCGTGCAAAGTGCAGCCCCTTCACCTCGCCACAACGTGCTCTGTGCTGCTGGCCCCGCGCAGCCCCCTGCCCCACGCAGCCCCCAGCGCACCCACACCCACCGGTCCCCTCCTGTCCCCTCCCTTCTCCTCCTGTCCCATTCTTCCCGCCCCCCCTCCTCCCGCCCCGTTCCCTCCTGTGGGACATGCAGTGCTGGGTGTGTCTACGGGAATCCCCGACCAGGTGATAAATGTCTTTTACTCATCGTGCTCAAATATTTTGTCCTTGAAGGAAGCAGACGGAGCACGTAATGCTCCCGCAGTGTCACCCTGTCCGCCTGGCTCAGTGGCAGCTGGAGAAGGAAAAACAAGGCATGTGTGAGCTGACCCTGCGAGTGATCCCATCCCGGGGGGCAGCGCCCCCCCAACGAGCCCCCTGAATGAGCAGGGTGCTGCTGCGTGCAGCCATCCCCCCCCGCTCTGCACGGCCAGAGTGCTGCAAGTATTTCAGCCCCCACCCCAGGAATGCATTTGCCCCCTGCTCTTGGTGGATGGCTGCCTGCAGGCATGCTCCAGCCTGTTCCCAGCCACTGCTGAGGGCTCCCCTACAACTCATTAACTACACTAGAGCACGGCTGGAGACCCCCCTGCTCAGCCCCCCAGTGGAGGGAGGCCGCACTCAACCATGCCTTGCAGCACCCCAACACCCCCACTCTGCTGGATCAGCTCCTGCTGCCCCACAGCACGTCCAACTCTTGGTCTGGGTGCACCCAGCACCGCATTGCACTGCAGCACCCCACTCCCAGCCCCGGCTCTCTGTGGCATCCCGCCATCCCATGGCACCCCATGGGGTTGGTGGGCACATGGGTGTCCCGTGGGGTCCCTGTGCAAGCAGAACCCCAGGGTCTCACACCAAGTGAGGTGCTGCTGGGGGGTGAGCCCAACCATCCCAAGGATGGAGCTGAGGCAGAGCAAACTTCGGGGTGCACAGGTACTGGGTGCACAGCAGACACTGCACACACACCCAAATACACCCCCCCTGCTGGCTGGGATGCACAGACACAGCTGAGCAGACAGACAGACAGGGAAAGGCACAGGTGCACAGGTGCACACATGCGCAGACCATCGCGCGCAGGTGCTCACAGGCACACAGGAGTGCACAGAGACACAGTCAGACAAAGAGAAAGGCACAGGTGCACATACACACGGGGAGGTACACACGGACAGACGGACAGGCGCAGCAGATGCACAGACACATGGCTGCATGCACACTTGGCACACACATAGGAGGGTAGCCATGGGGGAATGTGCACAAGCAGATGCACTCACCGGTACACCTGAGAGCAGACACAGGTTCACACATATGGCAGCACAGACAGAAGAGGAATGAAAGCACACACAGACAGGTGCACACACACACACACAGAGGGTCAGGGGAAGGACCTGGGGCGGGGGATGTCCCAAGTAGTGCTGTGGGGCAGGGGCACGGGAGCGAGGTGACGGCTGCCCTGCAATCAGCCCCCACGCGCCGCGCCGCCTCCTCACCCCATCATCCCAAATTGCCCAAAGTACAGGCTGTTTGCACTGTGCCGCCGGCCTGGGGCAGCAGCAGCTGCCTGACTCACAGCAGAGGAAGGGGCAAATCACCGGGGTTTCGGGGTGCTGGCTGCAGCACGCTTCGGGATGCATTCCTGTGGTGAGGAACGCAGCCTGATGGTGTTTACCCAAAACAGGCACGGGGGCGGCAGGCCTGTGGGGGTCCCCATTGCCCCTTGGTGAAGCTGTTCCACTGCAGCTCAGAAGGGATGGGGAGCATCACTCCCAGCGATGGGGACCAGAGGGGCCACACGATGACGTGGGGATGGGTCATGACGTGAAGGTCAGACCCAAGGGGTGTGTGAGCTTTGCCGTGCTGGTGGCTCTTCTCCATGAGCACCTGCACAGCGACAACCACTGTGGGTGACCCCATCCCCATCCCATCCCTATTCCCATCCTCATCCCATCTCCATCCCGGTCCCCATCCACACGTGCTGTTCGGAGGGCCGGCTGCCCCGGGGCGGGTGACGGCACAGCAGCACCAGCAGAAACCGCCCCGGGCACCGCGGGGCCGCGTCCCGCTCACGTGCGCGGTGCGGCGGGCGCGGGGCATGGGGTGTTCCCCCATGGTTGCGGTCGCGGCGGGGCCGGCGCCTATCCCCCCCAGGGCAGCGGGACGAGCGCTGCTCCCTGCTTATATTTCAGGCGCGGGGCTGTCGATCTGCCCCGGCCAGGGCACACAGACGTCCATTGTTGAAGCCCCTTTGGCGGCGGCGAGGAGCAGGTAAGGCGGCTCCGGCATCAATGGCAGCTCTGTCTGGCGGCGGGGCGGGGACTGCGCTGCGGGGCCTCTCGGGGGGATGGCGGTGCGCCCCACATTGCGGCGTGCTCGGGGCTTCCCCACCCCGAAGGGCTCGGAGCGGCGCGGCTTTTGCTGCGGTGCCGACCCCCGAACTTCGCCTGCAACGCGTCCGAGTGTCACCTTCCTGGGACGTGGCTGCAGCTCGCACGCCCCTTTGGCTTAGCAGCACTTTTGCCCATTTGGGGCTGCTTTTTGCTCAGTAAGTGGATAGGGGGTTTGTTTTCTTGGTGAACTCCTGGCAGCGGTTCCTTTGCACAGCGCTTTCCACGGGCTCTTGGCTGAGTCTGGAAACCTTTGCTTTCAGGTAGAGAAAAACAACCTTAGTGTGCACATTTCAGCCGGTCAGGGGGGTTTATGTCAGGCGCAAACTTTTCGGGAACATTGAGTCTCTGAGGAGCGTGGGTAACTAATCCCCGTGTGCGCCGCGGGGAGAGGCTGCTCAGTGCTGCGCCGGCTCCAGCACGGCCCCTGCTCCAAACCCGGCTCCCTCTGCTCGCCCCATTGGGACCTCGAGGTACGCAGCGTGGTTGTTTGCTCAGAGAGAATGCGGGGTTGAGGGAGAGGGGGAAATGCTGTCCGTGTCTGACACGGGGACATCTGCCAGCCCTGTCCCCACAGGTGTCCTCGGCACGGCACAAGGTCAGGTGTGACACAGCTCTTTCTGTGACCCTGTGGTGCTGAGGATCGTGGTGAGCAGGGGCTGCCCTTGTCTCTGGCTCTGTGTCCCTTGCTGTGGGGCTGTGGCACGGCCCTATCCCACTGTGATGAGAGCCTCGGGGTGGGGTGAGCCCCCTGTTTTGGTGAGGAGGGGCTCCTGCTGTCTGCAGGCGAGTGGAATCTTTCAGCTCCGTGCGATGCTGCTGTCACTGTGCTGTTCCTCGCTGAACCCCACATCCGTGGCAGTGCTGGGACATGGGGTGCCTGGGGGTCATGGGAAGGGCACGAGAGCTGCTTCTTGGTGTCAGGCACCACTTGAGGACGTGTCACATTCTGGTTTTAATTATGGTCATCAGCTGTCAAACGGCCATGCTGGCGCCTATAGCTCCGGCATTGCCATGCAGCACATAGCCGTGTCCTGCTCCCACCTTGCCATTTGTCCCCAGACCCAGGCACGGCCCTGAGCCCTGCGGGGATGCAGCCTACGCAGGGCTGGGCTTTTCCTATGGAACCGTACACACGTGTGCACACACCCACTGCAACCCCAAATGATGGTGTGGTTGGCGCAGCCGTCTGCGAGCCCAAGCCACATCCAGCCTGAGGCAGGGTCCGGCCCTGGCGCTGCCTGTCCGTGGAGCTGCCCCAGGCAGGGGAGGGGGTGGGGTCCCCCCCCCCCCCCCTGCTGCCGCCCCACTGATTACAGGGAGCCCTGAATGCACTTCAGCTCCACAGTGGGCACGCTGGTATGCCAGCAATGTGGGCACTCCAGAGGTGTGGATGGTTGGATGGATTGAGGGAGCGCCCCGGTGCACCTCGGTAGATGGTGGCTGCCCCAGACAGCCAACAAGGAGGGCTGCAGCAAGACCCAAGTGTCCCCGTTGCCTGGCCTGGCTGGATGCTGGTGTCCCCAGCCATGGTGCAGGTGGCATCCTTGTGGCATGGACCACGGCATGGACCATGGAGATGCAGCCACCCCTGGGCATGTGGGCTGTGTGTTGCAGCAGGAGCCTCCTCTGTGCCCAGAGACACCTGGTGTGCTCAGAGGCAGCTCCAGAGCCCATCGTGCTAAACAATTAGCAATTAATTAGCAATTAATTGCATCGGCAAGCCGCTGTCATGCTTTGCCAGCAAGTCTGAGGATGAAGTGCCTGGTGGGGGCTGGCCACTCTGACCCCACAGGGTTCCCCTGATACCTTATCTATCCACGCCTGCGTGTTTGGGAAACTGAGATAACCTCGGGCCCTGCTGTCATCCCTGGGGATTAAGCAGGGGGGGAGTGGTGCAGTGTCTGTCCTTGTGCTCTGTCTGGCTTTGTGCTGCTCCACGCACATGCCTGGGGGCTTAGTGAGGGTGGTGTGCATGTACAAGGGGCTGCTGGGCTGGGGGCTGCCCCTGCCCACTCCGAGCACTGCCGTCTCTGTTGCGTGGCAGCTCTGACTGGTTTGTGGGGCTCGGTGGGGAGGTGCCTCCTGCCTGAGGCCAAATGGAGGGATGGGAAGCGCTCACACGATGCCAAGGAACAAACAAGAGGTGCTTGTGCCCTGCCGGCATGGAGCCCAGCACGGGACTGGCACGGGCCCACGGAGACAAGGGCAGGAGCTAGGGGGAGGAAAAAGGCACAGAAGCACAGAGGCATCCATGCAGGCCATGGAGAAGGAGGTGCCGGGAGCGATGCTGGAGAAATCCTCATCCCAGATGCCACGGTTGCCCTTCAGCACCCCGAGCTGGGTCAACCCGGGCATCTCCTGCCTGTGGGCAGCGTGCGGCCATGCTCCTGCTCCTGGGTGGCCTCATCCCGGCCCCCTGCGCCATCCGTGGGAGCAGCGATTGGGTGTCATGGCCGTGGGGAGAAATGTGAGAGGAGGAATCCCGGGAAACTGGTTCTACCCCTCCGTCCTGTGCCGGCGGGATGGCGGGTGGCGGCGGAGCTCCTCCCTCGGCGAGGGCATATAATGCCCGGCATGGTCCCGGCGGGCGGCACTGCGTGGCGGAGAGCGATGGCCTCCATGGGGCTGCAGGTGCTGGGCATCGCCCTGTCCGTCATCGGCTGGCTGGCGTCCGTCCTCTGCTGCGCGCTGCCCATGTGGCGCGAGACCGCCTTCGTGGGCAACAACATCGTGGTGGCTCAGATCATCTGGGAAGGGCTGTGGATGAACTGCGTGGTGCAGAGCACGGGGCAGATGCAGTGCCGGGTGTACGACTCCATGCTGGCCCTGCCGCAGGACCTGCAGGCCGCCCGCGCGCTGCTGGTGGTGGCCATCGTGCTGGCCGTGCTGGGCACGCTGCTCGCCATCGCCGGCGGCAAGTGCACCACCTGCGTGGAGGACGAGACGGCCAAAGCCAAGGTGATGATCCTCTCCGGCGTCACCTTCATCGTCTCCGGCGTCCTCATCCTCATCCCCATCTGCTGGTCTGCCAACGCCATCGTCCGGGACTTCTACGACCCGCTGGTGGCCGACTCCCAGAAGAGGGAGCTGGGCTCGTCGCTTTACGTGGGCTGGGCGGCCTCCGCGCTGCTGTTGCTGGGGGGGGCCATGCTGTGCTGCACCTGCCCGCCGCGCGGTGAGAAGCCCTACTCCGCCAAGTACAGCGCGGCTCGCTCGCTGCCGGCCAGCAACTACGTGTAGGGCCGCCGCACCCTGCCAGACGGGGATGCCCGCGGGGAGCGGGTCTGGGGCCGGGGCGCTGCGGAGGGGATGGAGCGAGGGGGGCAGACAGAGCCGCCTTTGTTCACCGGGATTGGAGCTGGTTCTTTAATCCTGCTGGGATGGGAACGGCGCTCTGCCGTCCTGGCTGCCCGCCCGACAGCTCGGGGGCACCCGCGGCATCTCCTCAGTGGGGGCTGGGGGGTACTGTGCTGTGCCGTGCCGGGACGCTCAATGCGCCGGGTGCTGCCCCACCGGTGACACGCGGCTCCGTGCTGCTCCGACTTGTCCAAACACCACTGCGGAGGACGGGGAGAATCCCCGGGTGATGTCCGTCGAATCTGTCCCGTGTGGCCAGAGGACGCGGTGGCTCGGTGACACGCAGCGCGGTCTCGAGGGGCGTTTGGTGCTCTTCCCCCTCCGTGCCCCCAGTTCTTACTTTGACCTACTTTCGGGGATCTCATCTAGCTGTACGCACTTGGGATTTTTCTCGGCAGCTCGCCGGGGTGCGGGTATCATTATCCTGGGAGTGGGAAGGCAGCGGCAGGGCTGGGAGAACCGGTCCGGGAGGCGGCACCGGGCTCTGCACTGCACTTCTTCCATCCGTGGGGCAGGAGCAGCTGGGGGCTCGTGGTACCCCCGGTGTGGCAGCACCTGACCTCGTGCTGCAGCCATCCCACATTAAATGACAGTGCTGCACCCGCCGTGCTCCGTTGTCTTTATCTGCTGACCTCCATGATGGGGTGACCTGTGGGTTCCGAGCTGCAGACCCCGTGTCTGGGAACACCAGCATGAAACATCCCAAATCGGGAGGGACATCCCCAGCCTCCCACCCCCTGCTCCTCACCCCTGGCTCTACCACAGCTGTGCTCCCCTCCCGGGCCACCTGGGGAGGTGACAGTGGGGTGGCTCAGCAACGAGATACCTTTACAGTATTGAGGCCACCCCACGCTATCACAGGGCCCCGGGCATTGGGGCCATCGCCCCACGCTGCTCCTGTCTGACCGGCTGCACCAAGCAGGAAGGAGAGGCGGGCGCCAGCAGGACGTGGGGTGTTGGGATGGGTTGGGATGCCCCAGGGCTGCTTGGAAGCACCTTGGGGCTGGTGTGGGTGACAGCAGTGTTTTGCCTATTTGCCTTCTGGCCTTGGAACCGTGCCAGTGCACATCCAGTGTGTGGCCAGCCCTGGGAACGTCCTTCATGAGCACCTCAGGGCACTGGGGACAGCACACAGTACCCAGCATGGGGCACAGGACCTGAACGGTTAGGCTGTGGTGCTCACTGGGGACTTTGAGGGCTCCCAGCTCCAGTGCTTTGCTGGGATGGGGATGGAAGTGGGCAGCCCAAATGTGTTGGAAATGGTGGCAGATGATCTGCAACAGGAGATCGATGCTCCAGCTCTGTGCTGGGATCCACTTGGTCACTGCCTGTCCCCAGTGAGGACACCCAGCCCATGTCCTTATGGCTGTGTGGCACCAGGGGTGGCTGCCCACCATCCCAGCCCTGGCCCCTTGCTTCTCCTGGGAGAGAAGGATGTTGTTATCAGCTCTAACACTGTGCCCAGGCTCGGCCAGGTGCCCATCACAGTGCAATGCCAATGGGTGAGAGGTGCAGGGATGGAGCAGGAGCACAGCCGGGCAGGAGAGGCCATAGAAACCGAAACTGGGAGCAGGAAAACCATGGTGAAACTTGGAACAACTGCAGGGCGTGCCAGGTACAGTTGATACCCACTGCCACACCAGGGCCATAAAAACTCAGCTGCTCCCAGTTGCCAAGTCTGGGTCCTGGGTCACAACAGTGGGGTCTGCTCTGCATGGGGCCGAGCTTGAGATAAGCCTACAGTCATGGTGTGTTGCTGTGGTTGGTGCCCTGAAGTTCCCCATCTCGGAGCAGCACCCTGTGTCTGCGGTGGCCCCTTCTCTATAGCACCCTGGGAGGGCTGGAGCAGCCTTGGTTTGTCAAACATGCTCCCGGTGCTGCTTCTCCAAAGGATGAGGAGCCAGTATTGCTGAAAGTGCCGAGCCCTGCGGCTGGTATTGCAGGCAGACCTGGGCTCGTGCCCATACCCAGCCCCACAGACAGGAAACCTGACAGGTCCAAAGACTACTGCAGTGCGGCCACCAAGGGCAGAGTGCCGGCTGGGGCAGCCGTGAGGAGTGCCCTGTGCTGAAGGGACACCTTGGGTGAAAGCATGATTCGCTTGGGCTCCTGCAGCTCAGCCTCCTCTGGACCTGGGAGCTCAGTGTAGGACAGGCCCCCATGCAGCCCTGCAGCAATGCTCCATTGAGGACATATCTCCATACAGCTCTGCAGCAGTGCTCAATTCAGGACCTGTCCCTATGTCCCTATGGTTCCCTGCAGAATGCCTCATGAAGGATGTCTCCCCGTGTCCTCATGCAGCCCTGCAGCAACACTCCATGCAGAATGTGTCCCCATGTCCCCATGGTGCCCTGCAGCAATGCTCCATGCACAACACATCCCGCCGCGTCCTGCAGCCATTCCCATCCAGTTGGCAGTGGGATGCCTCCGCACAGAAGCACAGCTGCTGTGAGCAGCTCGGTGCCCACATGTGTGATGTGATGGCTGTGCCTGTCCCCACAGGTGCTGATGGCGACGATGTCGATGCAGCTGGGCGGGCTGGTGCTGGCCGTGCTGGGCTGGCTGGGCTCCATCCTCACCTGCGCGCTGCCCATGTGGAAGGTGACGGCCTTCATCGGTTACAACATCGTGGTGGCCCAGGTCTTCTGGGAAGGGCTGTGGATGAACTGCGTTTACGAGAGCACAGGGCAGATGCAGTGCAAGGCGTACGACTCCCTGCTGGACCTCACCTCTGACCTGCAAGCCGCCCGAGCGCTGGTGGTCACCTCCATCATCGTGGCCTTCCTCGGCCTCCTCACCGCCATCTCGGGGGCCGACTGCACGCGCTGCATGGAGGACAAGAGCTCCAAGGGCCGCGTTTCCATCGTGGCGGGGGCCATCTTCGTGCTGGCCGGCATCGTGCTGCTCATCCCCGTCTCCTGGTCTGCCAACAGCATCGTCACCAACTTCTACAACCCCATGGTGCCCGAGGCCCTCAAGAGAGAGCTGGGGGCTGCCCTGTACATCGGGTGGGCTTCCAGTGCCCTGCAGCTGCTGGGTGGGGGCATCCTGTGCTGCTCAGGGCCACCTGTGGAGCGGGACCACTACCCCAAGTCATACCGTGCGGTGAAGGGCTGCGGCCCCATGGGCTACCCCATGAAGGACTACGTGTGAGCTGCCCCAGCCAGGCACCAGCCCTTGGACACAGCACCACGGTCTCTATCCCCCTCACATCCCACATCCCCTGCCCGCACACCAGTGTCCCCACGCCAGCTGTGTGTCCCCCCCCCCCTCCCCCCCCCGTGCTTTGCCCTTCCCGCAGGCTGGTGACAGCATGTGGCCTCATCCCGCTGCCCTCCTGGGGCGCTGCTGCTGCTCCCAGCTCTATAAAGGTCTTGGTGCCACTAAGGCTGCCTGGGCTCATTTTGAAGCTGTGTTTTGACACTTCCTATGTCTCTCACACCTCCATAGGCAGCAAAAGGGCTTGCTGTGCCATCACCCACCATGTCCCTGTGCCACCTCACCACCCCACAGGATGGCCCTTCACACTGAAACCACACACACCCCAATCATGCAGTGCACATAGGGTTTATTCATTAGCCAAGCACGGGACAGGGACAGCCACAACCCCCAGCCACTCAGCTTAGGGGCAGTGCTGGGGACAAAGGGACCGTGCCTGTATCACCGAGGGGAGGCAGGGGCTGGCACCACAGCACCAGGACATGGGGAGACAATGCACACCAGAGCCCAGCCAGGGGGGATGACGTGTGCTGGAGACAAAATGCTTTCAGCACAATCAGCCTGGGGTGCTTGGATGCCCCAAAGCTGTGGGCTCAGCTCCTGCAGTGGTGGCACCGAGGCGGGTGCGGAGCCACTGCTCCGATGGGGTGAGTTTCCATGTGAAGGAAATCACATGGATGAATGCTCCTTACATCCATGGGAATGCGACAAGCAGCAGCAGGTCTGCGGGAAGGAAAACAAAAAGATCCTAGTGGGAGATTTGGGTAAAAAACTTCCCAAGGAAGCAGTGGAGGAGGAAGGGGTGGAGGCACCACGCGAGGGGCACGGGGAACAGGATGGGCAGGAGATGCCGGGCGGCTCCGGGGTGGGGAACAGCCACCCTGAAGCCTCTTCCAGGTTCATTTCCCACCCAGCCCATTAGCTACAAAGCCATAGGAAAATGAGGGCTTAAGCAGGCAGGATGAAAGGTTGACGGTGCTTGGAAACTTTTCTGGGCGGGCGTCGTGCTGTCACACTGCTCCTGATGTGGTCAGTCTCTGTCACCTCGGTGTGCAGGGTGTGGGGGTCACTGCAGGACGCAGAACAACCCCCCCAGGCACGGAGCTGGGGTCTGGAACAGGGGTGATGGGGCAGGATCCAGGGGGTGACCGTGGCCGTGAGGGAGGTGGGCACCGCGAAGACACAGGGGTGGCTCTGCGGTGGTGTCACAGCACGGACCAGAACCGGGTGCTGAGAAGGAGCCCTGGTGTTTGAGCCTGGTGCCAGGAGGGGGTGGTACGGCCATCGGACGGGGGACACCCGCGGGGCGGCACAGCACCAGGCACAGCGCCGGGCCCCTTCAGGGTGTCTCAGCCCTCCTCGGGGGGCGGGACGGGGCACTTGCGGTAGATGTAGATCACGCCGGAGATGTAACCGCTGCCCCGGACGTTCTCCTCCTCCTCGGAGGTGGCCCTTTCCCAGCGCGGCACCTCTTGCACCAGCACACGCTGCCACGCGCCCTTCTGCTCCAGCTGCTGCAGCACGGCCTCCAGCTCCGCCCGGTACCGCCGGTTCGACGGGTTGCTGCGGGTGGTCAGGCACAGGAAGCCCCCTGCCGACGGCGGGTGGGTGACAGCCGCCTGCGGTGCCGCGTCACCCCGGGGTACCTCCGGCTCGCTCCTAGCCGGGACGCGGGGCCGAGGCCTCGTCCCGTCGCCGGAGGTCAGCGCGGGGACGCCGCCTCACCTGCCCTGGTGACGCGCAGCAGCTCCGGCAGCGCCGAGCTCGGCACCTGCCCCTCGCCCAGAGCTCCCACCAGCGTCACGGCGTCGTAGCGCTCTGCGGGTCAGGCACGTCAGCCACCAGCGGGGCGTACATGGTGTCACCGCTCCCGGTGCCGGCCGTTACCTGCGGGCGCGGGCAGCGGCTCCCGGCCCAGCTCGCAGCGCTGCAGCTGCCGGTAAAGCCCGGTGCCCCGTGCCAGCTCCAGCATCCCGGCGCTGCCGTCCACGCCGTGCAGGCGGCGGAACCCGCGGCGGTGCAGCTGCGGGACGGACGGACGAACGGACGGACGGGAGGGTGGGATGACCGCTCGGCTCCCCCCGCTCCGTCCCGCCCCTCCCGCCCCGTCCCGTACCTCCCGAGCTACGAGCCCAGTGCCGCACGCCACGTCCAGCACCCGCGCCTCGGCAGGCGGCGAGGGGAAGGCGAAGGCGAGCGAGGCGGCGGCCAGGTACGGCGCACGGTACTCCAGCGAGGCCACATCCTGCTCGTAGCGCCCGGCCCAGCCGTCGTACAGCCGCAACAGCTCCGGCAGCTCCGCACCGCCGTGCACCGCCGCGACGCGCTCCCGCACTCCCGCCGCCAGCTGCATCGCAGCCCCGCCCCTCGCCCCGCCCCGCGCCGCTCCATTGGTTTAACGCTCCGCCCCGGGCCCGCCTACCACCGTCCCATTGGTTAGCGGCAGGTGGAGGTCACGCCCCCCAGCTTCTGATTGGCTGTCGTCGCCCGGCCGCTGTCGCGCTCCGTTAGGCAGAGGGCGCGACCAAGTGCGGCTGCGGGGGGAGCCGGGAAGTGCGTCGGAGGGACGGACCGAGTGGTGGGACTGGTCAGCGAATGACCTTGGAGCAAAAACCACGGAGATGGCAGCAAGCACCCGGGGAGGTCATCGGGTGCCGGGGGAGGGGTGACACCAAGGGCCTCCTGGTTAGAGAGTGCTTTCAGGAGGAGAGGTGACACTCAGTGCCATGAGGCTGTGCCCCGAGGGTGACCCGGAGCCCCGGGGAGGTGACACGCAGCTTTCCCAAGGGTCACTGGGTGCCCGGGGTCTCTGCAGTGTTCACTGGCACATCCCGTGCTGCTGGTGCTGCAGCAATGGTGCTGTTTGCGTGGCACTGCCCTATTGTCCCTTTGTGTCACTGTGTATTCTGCACAGTGCTCCTGGGACAGGTCACCTCCTGTCACCACCCCCGTGGCTCCAGTCCTGCACTGTCACCTTCATCTCACCTCTATATCTTCTGCCTGCACAAGGCCATGTTCCTCTGCCATCGCCAGGACGTGTCCTGTTCCATGCTGGTGCAGGTGACACCGTGGTGCTGAGCAGCTCCCCAGCCCCGGGCAGGTTCTGCATCTCCTGATACGTACATCCCTGGCTGCCCATGGGAGCAGGGTGTGTGGCCACAGTGTGAGGTCTGAGGATGGGTTGGGGGAGCGGCCTCGGGGTGCTGTGAGTGATCACACAACCATTAAGATTGGAAAGGACCTCTACAGTCATCCAGTCCAACCCCAACCCATCCCACCATGCCCACTGCCCGCGTCCCTCAGTGCCACATTTCGGGAACACCTCCAGGGTTGGTGACCCCACCACTCTCTGGGCAGCTGTGCCACTGCATTACTGAGTCTGAATGTTTCCTAATACTCAACCTGAACCTCCCCTGGAGCAGCTTAATGCCATCACCCCTCATCCCATCGCTGTTACCTGGGAGCAGAGGCCAACCCCCATCCTCCTTTCAGACAGCTGCAGGAAGCAGTGAGGTTGCCCCTGAGCCTCCTCTGCTCCACTCTGACGCATCCCAGCTCCCCCAGCCGCTCCCATCAGACGTGTGCTCCAGAGCCCTCACAGCTCCGTTTCTTCTCCAGACACGCTCCAGGTCTCTCTGGTACAGAGCGGCCCAGCACAGAGCCGGGTGGGCGCGGGCAGTGCAGAGCGGGGGCCTCGAGAGGGAGCCCTCCGCCCGCGCTCAGCCCCGCGCCGGGCACTGCCCGCCTGGCCGGGCGGTGGGGCGGTGGGCTGCGGCATCAGCGCAACCCCGTGGCTCCTCGCACCGCCCCTGAGGTGGCCTCGAGGTGACGGCGGGGACATGTGAGGTTCGGGGCGCGGCTGCTGCCCGGTGACCCTCGTGCCGGACGTTGTCACTTTGTCCCCTCTCTGCTCACGGCTCCCATCCCGCACCCCGGGCAGGTGGCTCTGCTGCTGCCGCCGCATCTTTGGAGCCGCTTTCCCGCACCGAACATCATTTTCCCCGGCCCGACACGCGTGGATCAGCTCTGCAATTTGCCGGCACTTTTCTAAACATCGTGTTCCCGGGGCTGGCGCGCACCGAGTGCTGTGCACAGCTGTACAAACAGCTCCTGCTCCCCGCGGCACGGCAGCTTTGGGCTGGCTTTGGCTCAACCCCGGCTAGCCAAGCTGCGGGCCGGCCCCGGTGCCAGCACCAAGGACCCGGGCATGTTTTGCTCTGCAAGGAACCCTGCGAAGTTTTGGGTGCTGTGGCCGAAGCTGTGCTGAGGCTGTGCTCTGTGCTGGCACACGGCTCCACCACGATGGGCTCCTGCTACATTTGCTCATGCTTGTGTCACCCTCAGCGCAGTTCTTCAGGTGCTGTCCTCATACTGTGCCTGTGTGTGCAGCATCTCCCTGTGCTGGTACCGGCTTGCAGTCTGCCACAGAGTGGGGACAGGCAGTGGGAAAGAGCAGCATTTTGATGCTCCGCAGGGCCAGGCACCCCCAGGCCCAGCAATGTCACCCATCTGCTGCCTTGCCTGCCTGCAGGCCCCATTGCCTCAGCCTGTCCTGGGCTCCAGGATTTGCTCCAAGCTCTCATCTTCCTGCAGAGCTTCCCTAATTGTGCTTTAGGGCAGTCCCTAAGCCTGCCCTGTTAGGTGGAGCAGAACACCCAGCAGAAGCAGTCTGTCTAATCTAGGGTGTGGGAATCATGGCCAAGGACTGCCTCGGTCACCCCATGGTGTGTGGAACCCTCAGCCCATCTGGCAGCGATGGACAGCCAGTCCCTGACATGAAGAGAGATGTGATCCGTTGCTTTTGTGGGCACCCAACAGGTCTGGGTGGTTTGTGAGTGTTCACCAGGGCTGTGCTGATGGGTGATGGGTGGGAGGCTATGGGAACACGGGGCATCAGTGCTCGTGCATCCCTGCACATGTCCTCTGAGCAGCTCCTGGCTGCAGGGAGCCCCAGGAGCTGCAGCCATGCCTGATCCCAGATGTTCCCCACCAAAGCACTCATGTCCCTCCTTTGCTGGTATTTCCCTCCTGAGTTAATGGAGAAATCAGCGGTGCTCCCTTCCATGAATGGCTTTGCTCTGATCCCAGATATCCTGCATAAACCCCATGGCCTGGGCACACCCCTGGTGTTTGGGTGTATTTCAGCTTTATTTCACACTCCTGGGGCTGGGGGATAGATAGGGGACAAGGGGACAGATGCTTCCTGGCGTCAGCTGGGGACTCGGTCCTTTCAAACATCTGCAGAGATGTGGTGGCCCTTCACACAGCAGTGCTGCCGCTGGCTGGGATGGCTCTGCGCGTGCGTGCCTGTGCAGTGCACTGTTTTCATTTCCCAGCATCCAAACGTGGCTGGAGTCCATCAGCCCGTGGACCTTCCCATCCTTCCCCAAAGCCCAACCCACTGGTGTCCGAGGACAAGTGGATTTTGCCCCCTCACGCACACCACTCAGCACCACGAGCCGCCTGAAGGCTGGGGCCCTGCCTGACTTCTCAGTTCATAAATCTGAACACGGCTGTGATTGATTGGGGCCAGGGCTGCTGTCACTGAACCATCTGCATCAGCCCCTGACACCCGCGTGGCTCACAACCAGGTAGCAAGGAGAGGCTGAGATATAAATCATCAGCACAGCACGGTGCTGGCTGGAGATCAGACCTGCAGTGCAGACAAGAGGGCTGAGGAACGACTCACAGATGATTCATGGCTGCCGGCACGGCTGGCACAGTCCTCCACCTGTGAGCCATGTTGCCACACTGCTGCAACCCCTGGGGACATGACATGTGGCTCAGCAGGGCTTCAGAGTTTGATTACTCCCATATCAGTTCCAGGCTGGTACGCAGCACTTATGTCATCTGAAGCATGGTGCTCCCACAGCCCCCCACATCCCCGCTGCACACCAATCCCAAGCCACTGCATCACGGGGACATGGTTGCTCCCACTCTGGTAACATTCCCACTTCTGACCCTACCCTTCACACCTCTGCCCCCAACATCTCTCTGCAGCTCTCTGCTGAGCCCCCTCTGTCTGGCTCACCCCCTTCCTCACCATGGAGCAGCCCCACATCCGCACCCACCCCACAGACCCCACTGCCATCCCCTCCTCATGTCCCCAACCTCACCCACTCCCTCTCCTCGCCCCAGATGCCACCTATCCTTGTGACGGGGCACTTTCCTCCCTGCCCTCATGCCGTGCCCCCGGGATCTGCTCCCTGTGCCAGCTCAGCTCCGTGCCCACACCCAGCTCTGTGCCCAGCTGCTCCCACACCATGGCTCAGCACCTCGTCCCGGTGACTCAGTGTCACTTTCAGGATCACACCCTCATGACTTGGCATCGATCCCCAGGGTACACTGCTGATGACACCGGGAAGCTGCCCGATCGCACCCCGAGACTGCGACTTGCTGGTGACATTCCTGCCACATGGTGTAAATCACAGCGCTGCCGGGGCAGAGCACAGCTCCACATCCCTGCAAACATCCTGACCCCATGGAGCACAGCCCAGCGCCCTGACCCTGGTTTTGTGGGACCCTTCAGGCCAACTTCCCTGTGCCCCAGGGGATGGAGGTTTGCTTGGTGCGGTCTGGCTCGGTAATAACGTGCCAACTTTCACTGCAATGGGAATTAGGAGTGGATCAGTGACTGCAAACACCCAGCAGGTTTTTTGTAGCTTGCAAGGGATGACTCAGTGCTGCTGGTGAGGTTGGCCCCGGGCAGGCTGCAGGCTGGGGGGGTCCTTGGTAGTCTGAAAGCATTTAAAGATGCATGGTGACACCAAGCCCACCTCACCCTGCCTGGACCAGGACCTGAGGGTGTTTTGGTATCTGGATCTTAGAAACAGCACTAAATGGTATGGATCTCCAGAGGGAGGTCAGGCTGCTTCACCCTCTTCCCCTCACTCATCCTCAGGCCTGTGCTGATCTCCTGCCTCTGTGCCCTCAGCTCTGCCTTGAGCCTGCCCTGAGCTCCCTCTGCAGAGGGTGGAGGAACCCTTGGCTGCCTCACTGCCCAAATGGGGTTTGTGGGCTTCCCCTGGGGAGAGGAGCTGAATGCAGAACAGTTCCAGGCGTAGGTTTTGCCCTGGGTTGAGCTGAACCTGAGCTGAGCGTGGAACTGAGTCCCCAGACATGGACCAGAGAACGTGTGCACAGAAGGTGCGTTCATGGGCAGGGGTGGTGATGAAGATTTGGGTGATGGTGGCAGTAGCTGAGAGCACATCCCATTGTGCTTCCAGTGGTCACTCGTGGTTGAATCTGCATCAACCACAGACTCCGGCTGGTGATGCTTGTCCTCCCTTTGCCGGAGGATTTCAGCTGAGGAGGATTTTGCTGGAGGATTGCATCTTTGGATTTCCTGGCCCG